CCCCCCCCCCCCCGCCCTCCCATCTACCCCCCCAAAACATTATTTACAGACATTGAAGTTGGAATATATATAATGTCCATATGTCCTGGAATGTTGCTTTTTGATTATTTCAACCATTTACAAATATGGCAATTGTTCTTAGCTAGTAGGCCATATGGAAACAGGTAATAGGCCAAATTTGCTCAGTAGCCTATAGTTTGCAAACAATCTAGATGTTTACACTGAGAGTCTAGAAGAATTCTTATACTCCTATATCTAAGCAAGGACTAGACTATGGGTGTCATGGGGAGGTCTGTGGTTAACAATGAGGTGGTTCTGGCTAAACCCTTGGTCTCTATTCAGTGATTCTGTGAGGCTGGTTGTCCAGAAAATACAATTTGCACCCTTGGAGCCAGGTCCTGGTCCCAGGGCTCAGATCATTCACCACTTCCTTCTGTCAGCTCAGCCCCTACAACTTCAGGCCTGGATGGACAAGGAGGTTGGTGACCCCACTTACTGCCCTACTGCAGTACCCCCTCTGCTATCTTTTTTTCACTGTTTATATACAGGTAGGCCAAGATGGGAGGCAGGCAGCAATGGTAGTAAGGAAACAAGAATTCTAGGTCTTGATGTGGGCATTTCCCTCCATCCTTGTGATGGGCTTCTCTGCTAATTCAGGTTCACTACCACGGAGAACCCATCACTGTTAATATTTCCATCAACAACTGTACCAGCGAGGTCATCAAAAAAAATCAAGATTTCAGGTAAGCTTCTTTTCCCATTGCCCCACATCTGTCACTAAAATCACAGTGCTCTTTCTTCTTTCTTTCTTTCTTTATTTTTTATTGTGAAAATACTGTACAGAGGGGTTACAAGTACATGGGCAAGATAATGAGTACATTTCTTATCAAGCATTGTAGCCTCCTCCTTTGTTTCCCCTTCCCATCCCTTCCCATCCTCCCCCTCGCCCCCCACCCAATTCTTTCTTTTTTTTAATTGCAGTTTTTCCTGTTATTATTATGTCATTGTACAAAGGTGTTACGATTCTGTAGGTCAGGTCAAGAGTATAATGTTTCTTGGTCAATGTCATCACTTCTTTTGTTCTCCCCTATTTCTCCCTTCTGTTCTTACCCTCAAGATATATACTTCATTTGTTACATTATGTACATTGAATATAATGACTACAATTAGTCACTGTCTTTCTACAACTCTATACCCTTTTAACTTTTTTGCATTCATCTCAGCAATCCCTCCAACAAAAGCTTATCAAAATATTTATCTTCATCCATGATCATATCTTGCAGCCTAGTACATAGGGTGCCCATATCTGAGGCTATGAGCTGGAGTCTTAAAGATGACTGATTATAATCATGTGCTTTTCCTTACTTGTTCAGTTGACCAGATCACAGATGTTGTCCTGTATTCATTAGACAAGTACATTAAGACCGTGTTCCTTCAGGAGTTCACGTGAGCTAGGGTTGGGGTTGGGGGCTGGTGCCAGAGCCAAAGAGTGACATGGTAGGAAGAGGGCCAGGAGGCATAGGAGAGGGATGGGGGAAAAACAAATGGGAGGGAGACACAGGAATGAGAAAAGTCAATGTGGGAGGAACTGTCAAGAGAACCAGAGGGAGGAGACATGACTTACTCATGGGAAGACCATTACATTGCTAAGAAAGAACATGGGCAAAGGGATTTCCTACCAGAGTAAGTACCTCCTCTCTTCATAGTAGGACATGTCACCCTTTGGGTACTCCAGGAGGTTCTTGAGATTATGTAAGATTCTCTTGGTAGTAAACATATATTAATTTAGCAAACATACCCTAAGTTTTTCTCTTGTTCTCCTTCCAAAGAGAGACTGTAGCTGCTAACTCCAGCTTCTCCCAAAGCTTTTCAGTAACTCCAATCGTGGCTTCCAATTGCTGGAAACAGGGCCTAGCACTGGATGGCAAGCTCAAGCATGAAGATAGTAATCTGGCCTCTAGCACAATATAAGTTCAAAATAACTTCCAGCCTTCACCTCTTTCCCTAAATCATTCTACATGCTATATATGCAGCTCTGAGGTTTCATCTTCAGTAGACCCTCCTTATTTTTTTTTAAATGTCTCTAGGCCAGGGTTCAGAATGCTTCCAGGCCTGAGAGCCATCAGCAAGCTAAATAATGCCTATGGGACCAATAGCAGATTATGGTAATAGGAAACAAAAAAATGTAGAGAGAATATCTTTATGCTGTGTAATATCACACAGGGCACAACTGCCTAATATATGTGCCATGTTATCATCATAAGAACCCCATGAAAGTGCACTGGACAGGTATTGCTATTGGTTTCACACTTACAGATTCAGGCTCAAAGAGAAGGAACTTGTCCAGCCTTGTATTACTAAAAGAGGGGAACAGGATTCTGATAGATACCATTTGGATCTCCATACTGATCTCTATAGTAATTACTCTCTAGAGAAGACAGAAATGGAGTGGAAGATTAGGAGATGAGAAATGGGGGAAAGAAGGACAAAAAAAGGGAAATGAGGTAGGTACCAATGTATTGTGCCTATCATCCTAGCTACTCATGGGGGATCAAGGATCATGGTTCAAAGCCAGACAGGCAGACAAATCTGAAAGGCTTTTATCTCTAAGTAACAAAAAAGCTGGAAGCTGAGGTATGGCTCAAGTGGTAAAGCACCAGCCTTGAGCGAAGAAACTAAGAGAGAGTACAATGCCATGAGTTCAAGCCCCAGTACTGGCTTGAGATAGAGAGAAGGAGGAGAGAGTTGACAGAATTCTATGGCATCATTCATTTGGTCCTTTGCCTTTGGAAGATCTCATGCTAGTTTTATCTCCCTCCAAAAGCCACTACAACCATATGACAATCATAAATTTCCCTACCTCTCTCCATGCCATATCAAACAAGTAGCCAATGATCGTCATTGCTAGAAATATTTGTAGGAATTATCAAACATTATTTTACTGACAGAAGATCAAGAGCCCAGAGCAATGAAGAGACTTTCCCAAGTTTATACTTAACTTTTAGTCTGTAGGTTTTTATTGAGCACTTACTAAATGTTTGTTCTTATATTAAGCAATGTGGGGATACAAAGAAGTTTAAGATAGTGTCCACCCCCACTCAATATATGCCCTAGTCAAAGAACAATGAGAAATGCAAATACAATCTAATAGTTAAATGTTAGCACATGTGGTTCAGATTATGACTCTAATAGAATTTAAGCCAACATAGCTGGCAATGGCCTCTTAGAGGAGACAGAATGAGCTTGCTCATGAAGAATGTGTAACATCTGGATAGCAACAGAGGAAGAAAGGAACATTCCAGACTGTGAATATGGAATGGGAAGAGATTCAAAGGTGGAAATTCAGGCTGGGAAGGGATGTGAAGGATAAACAAAGGAGGAGGCTGCAATGCTTGGTAAGAAATGTACGCATTATCCTGCCCATGTAATTGTAACCCCTCTGTACAGTATGTTAACAAATAAAATAAAATAAATTTTAAAAGGTAGAAATTCACATGGTGTTTTTAGAACATGCAGAGGACATGAATCCGCCTAAAGGTGTTTGCACCTCAAATATTAGGGAGTTAGGCAGAAAAGCTTAGAAATTGTAGCTAAGGAAGGCCAGGTTGCTTTGGGGTTTGAAAGCCCAGCAGAGCTTGGCAAAACTGAATTTTAGAAAGAGAAATATAGGTGGGTAGGGAAGGGATGGTAGGGGAAAAACAAAGGAGGGGGTAACAATGCTCGATAGGAAATGTACTCATTACCTTACTCACGTAACTGTAACCCCTCTGTACAGTATCTTTACAATAAAAATATATTAAAAAAAAGAAAGAGAAATAGTGGGGGGGTGGGGGGAGGCTGGGAAGGGATGGGAAGGGGAAACGAAGGAGGAGGCTACAATGCTTGATAAGAAATGTACTCATTATCTTGCCCATGTAATTGTAACCCCTCTGTTCAGTATTTTCACAATAAAAAATAAATAAAAATTAAAAAAAGAAAGAGAAATATATACCCAATGGGTAGGAGGGATAAGAGCCTGGGAGGTATTTGGGAGAAGATAAAGGTAATAGGATGTGGTAATGGGAATGTACAGGAAGGGACTAAACGTATTACTCCTCTGTGTATCTCCAATACACAAAAAATGGTTAACTACAACTTTCAGTCTTCCACCTGGAATGAACAAAGAACTGCTGGGGATCCTGGTATCCTACAAAGTCAGAGTCAACTTGAAAATGTCCTGTGAGGAGTAAGTGAGGATTCCAAGTTCATCTGGCCAGGGTCTGGGAAAGGCAAGGCTTTTTCATTCTGTTTCTCTTGTACTTGGGCAGACCCAGTTCAAGCTGTTCTTCTCCCAGACTAAGCTCCCAATCCTGTGAGCTCAGTGAGCAAGTCATCTTCCTTCCAGACATCTATACTATTGCTGACCCTTATTATGATCCCACAAACCCTAGTAAAACTAGGCTACCCCTTGCCCATTTCACTTACTAATTTGGAGTATCATTCTACCCACAGCATCCTAGGAGATGTGACAGCCAGGTGAGAGACTGTGGATGAGAAGACTAGGATACAAAGGGGACCCAAGGAGTGACTAGGCAGAGTTTGAGGGTATCCTGAGGCTGAAAAACCAAAAGAGGGAGGGAGGGTCAGGGAGTGGGTTTGTGGGAAGACGAGTACAGAGTCCTTGCAGGGATGTTGGTGTGGAGCTGCCTCTGATTCAGATCCATCCAAAGCCATTTCATGGTGAGTGACCAGGCGAGATTGTCAGCACAGGTCTTCCTAAGGGTTAGGCACCAAGTAGTTGTGATCTCATGATCTGGAGATAACAGCTTGGGGAGAGGTCAAAGGCTAGACAGAGAGGGAGAAGAATAAGAGTAAAGAATGGCTTATGGTGCCAGGTGCCAGTGGCTCACACCTGTAATCCTACTCCAAAGGCTGAAATCTGAGGATGGAGGCTCAAAGCTAGCCAGGCCAGGAAAGTCTGTGAGACCCTTATCTCCAAGAAACTACTAAATAAAAGGTAGAAGTGGAGCTGTGGCTCAAGTGGTAGAGCAAAACAGCTCAGGGACGGTGCCCAGGCTCTGAGTTCAAGCCCCAGGACTGGCAAAACAAACAAAAAATCATTCTGGAAAATGAAATTGTCCCAGAATGTCCTGTATCAAGTTCGCTCCATCTTTTCTCTCTCTCCACACTTGCCACAGAAGTCACTAGGTAAGGGAATGTGAGGCCTGCAACAGCCACCCTCTCTTCTTGATACAACCTTGCATTTTTTTTTTACGATGGAAACATAAAAAGCTTCCCTAGGGCATTGCATTCAAGATGTGTGCAGTGGAAACATATGTTTTAGCTCCATGTCACAGTTCAGTGCTCTTCCTAAACTTTCCCTCCCCCTAGTCCTCTACCTTCTGCCTTCTCAAAATCATCCTTTTCCCTTTCCCCCTTCTATTTTCTTTTTCCCTCTGTCACCTCCCCTTTCTCCCCCCTGATTTCTGTCGGTCTTTAATCCTTTCCCTCCATTCTATCTTCTTATTTCACTTCCAGCCCCACTGGGAGAATTTTTAGTTGGGAGATTCCAAAGGGATTGAAAGGCCACAAGTCAGTGTGGCAGAGGGGTGGGGCAGGAGCACTATCAAGAGGGGTTGAGGGGCCCAGGTGAGAAGCAGGGAAGGGATCACTTCTGGGAAGTGGAGATAAGGAGTGAATGTAGAGAATTCTAAGAAACGGACTTCTAGTCCTCTTTCCCTCTACTGCCTCTGCAAGTTCGGAAGACATTGTCATTGAGGAGTTCACACAGCATGAACACCATGGGGCCCAGATGCAGAAGGCTTTGGCCACTGAGGGAGAGGAGGGGTGGTGAGTGCCCAGCTCACAGCCCACACTGTAACCCACTAATAAATTGTTTTGTCCAGACTTGGCTATTGATCTGATTTCTAGTTCCTCCTCCTGAAGGACAATGGAACTATTAAGAGTGATCTACCCTTCTTCAGCCTCCCCCACAACTGCCCCATGATTAGATTACTCTTAGTCCCCTAACACCTATTTCACAATGCTACCTGTGCTCCCTATGTCCTTCAGCTTTCCCTGTAGTCTCAGCTACCCCTATCCCCTCTTTATCACCTACTACAGCTATCACCCCACTGCCCTAGCACCAAGTGCAGGCACTGCAGGAGCAGCAAGGAAGAAGTTAAAGAAGCATTGCTATGCCCAAAGATAACTGTCAGATGGCAGAGAACCAAGAGTAGGAAGCCAGTGTTGCTGTCCCCCCACCTCCAATCTAGGTGATGTTGCCTTTGGTCTACACAAGGTTTGGAGTAAGGCTAGAGGCTTTGGCCTGGAGACAAACAAGAAAAACAAACACCACGTGCAGTTCAAATTAAGCCTCATATTGCTGGGAAAGTAGAATAGTGTGGGTCAGGGAATAAGAAGGTGGGAATAGTATGGGATGGTATGGGGGTAGGGATCTTTTTGTGTGTGCGCTGATATTGGGGCTTGAACTCAGTGCCTGCACACTGTCCCTTAGCTTTTGTCACTCAAGGCTGGCACTCTGCCATTTGAGCCACACTTCTACTTGTACAGATTTTTGCTACTTAATTCAAAATAAGAGTCCCAGACTTTTCTGCCTGGGCTGACTTAGAACCAAATCTCTCTGATCTTAGCTCCCGAGTTGCTAGGATTACAATTGTGAGCCCCCTGTAGCTGGCAGGTGAGGATCTTGAAGGAGCTATTTCCTCTTCGGAAGTATTGGAGTATTTGTGTGTTTAGGGAAAGATGGGGGAGAAAGAAAAATGGTTGGCCTATTTATGGGGGATATACACCCATCAGCATCTGTTTCATGGACAACAGCTTCAAGTGTACCTACCAAGTAAGCCTACCATCAAGGAATCACATGTCTATTTTTGCCTTCTAGGCTAACTCACCTGAGGATTTCAAGTGTTGGGAAGTAGAGTCAAGATAATCTCCTTAAGGGCAATCCTCCACATCCCATCTTAATATTGGGGGAAAAGGAGAGTTCAGAGTACCTCTCTTCTGCGTACAAATATTAGAACTGACTTCCTGTTGAAGACCATGTATTTGGAGAACTAAATAATGTTAACAATCATACAATGGATGATTGCTTGCAGCTCACACCTGTTATCCTACATACTCAACAGACTGAGATCTGAGGATCTAGTTCAAAGCCAGCCTAGGCAGACAAATCCAAGAGATACTTATCTCTATTAACTATCAAAAAACAGAAGTGGAGGTGTGGCTCAAGTGGTAGAATGCTAGTCTTGAGTAAAAAAAAAAACCCAAGTGAGAGCATGTGGCCATGAATTTGAGCTCCAGTACACCAAGAAAGAAAAGGAAGAAGGGGGGGTGGGGAGGAAGGGAGAAATGGAAACAAAGGGAAAGGAAAGGAAAGGAGGTAGGGAGAGAAAGAAAGAGAGAAAAAGAAAGAAGGAGACTATCATACAATGAACCCCAACTCCTTAGGATCCCCTTATCTCAGTGGGATAGAACTTCCTCACACTGCCTGTGAATAAAAAATGAGAAGAAAAAAATCTGCTATTCCTGAATTAACAAGCCTCATGATGATTCAGGGTTTCTCTGCCTTTATCTAATTTCTACCTGCAACACAGATGAAGTTCAAGATAACTTAAACTCTAAAATCTACTGTATATAAGGTCTTCCTTAATTGAAATAGCATGTTGAGATTGGTTGGTCACATGGGCTATAACCGCCACTGTTCAGGGATCCAGTCTCCTTAACTTCTGTGTGTGTGTGTGTGTGTACACGTAAAAAGGGAGTGATACTATTCCTCCAGCTGTGTTGGGGTAGTTTGCAAGTAGAGAAGGCAAGCTTCCTTTGCTGAGTTAATGGTCAGGCTAAATTTTCTGCCTCAGAGGTACTTAATGGAAGATAGGAGTAACATTAACTCAAAGTGGCTCTTAGGTTTCAAGTGAAGGGGATCATACAATCAGAATTCTTCTATATAGGAGTTGAGGTTTAACTCCAGTCATGTCATTCTATTACCTTCATTTAATTTAGTGGCCAAAATCCAACTGGAGTCCTTAAAGAAGTCAGGTATCAAAAGCCATTGTCATGGACAGCTTAGGCTGTCTGCTAAGTTTGATATTTCCATACTTGCCATTCTCCTCCACTCCCAGGTTTATGGTTTACATTAATTTACTCTTCCAACTTCAGAGTTTAGGAATAACACAGACCCTAAAAGTGCTGTAATTTTTGGATTGCATTTCACAGCTATTGAGGGGAAGCTTTTTGAATGACCAGGAAACTCCATTCTACATTTTCTGATTGATACAGGATGCAGTTCAACAGCAGCTGTCATACTACCAAAGCCAATGAAATTCACTTTCTGCTTTTCTCTTATACTCTTGATAAGAAACTTTTTATTTTATGGTACTTGGGATGGAATTTGGGGCAATCACAAGTGCTAGGCAGGTACTTTATCCCTCAAGCCATTCCATGCCCCTTTTTTTCAGCTGGTTATTTTCAGGATAGGGTCTCACTTTACTACTGGGCCAGCCTGAACTATAATCCTATTTGTGCTTCCTTGTGTTGCTGGGATAACAGGTGCGTGCCACAATGTCGAGCCATGAGATGGGGTCTTGCAAACGTTTTTATCCAGGTTGGTCTCAAACCTTGGTCCCCAACTCTACCTTTCCCTCCCAAGTAGCTAGGATTATAGGCATGAGCAACCATGTTTGGCAAATGACTAGTCTTTTAACCCATCTGTTATTACACATTCGCCACACCATATCTATACATTGTATAATGCAATTGCCTCATATTGGTGCTCTAACATGAGTATCTCAGAGTGAGACCCAATTTAGGCCAGGAGAGTTTTTGTCTCTTATGGCTAATGTACGGCTGGGACCTTCCAGTCTCTTTTTAACCATGTTGACCACATTTGTTGGAAGCATTGTTTTAAATCCTGTTAGTAATAGGGAGTATTGGACAGTAGTCTCACCTAATATGCTTTTTTAGATGAGGGGTTTGTTTTTGTGCCAGTACTGGGGCTTGAACTCAGGGCCTGGGCACTGTCCCTTAGCTTTTTCTACTCAAGGCCAGCACTCTATCACTTGAGCCCACCTCACCCTACCTCCCCAAAATTTCCAGTTAATTGAGGATAAGTCTCATGGAATTTCCTGCCTAGGCTGGCTTCAAACCATGATCCTCAGATCTTAGCCTCCTAAGTTGCTAAGACTACAGGTGTGAACAACCAGTGTCCAACTAGAAGTAAGCCTTTTTGGGGAGGAGTGAGGATTTCTGAGGTTTGAACTTAAGGCCCTCACTTACTAAACAAGTGCTCTACCATTTTAGCCATATCCCAAATCCTTTTTGCTTTAGCTGTTTTTAGAATAGAGTTTTGTATTTTTGCTCCAGCTATCCTAGATCAGAATTCTATTTATGCCTCCTGTGTAGCTGAGAAGACAGGTGTTCACATTTGAAACAGGGGTCTCTTTTTTTGGGGGGGGGTCTGGTCGAGGGGCCTGAACTCTGGGCCTGGGCGCTGTCCCTCAGCTCTTCAGCTCAAGGCTAGTGCTCTACCACTTGAGCCACAGCACCACGTCTGGCTTTTTTCTTTTTGCTTATGTGGTGCTGAGGAATTGAACCTAGGGCCTCATGCATGCAAGGCAAGCGCTGTACCAGTGAGCCACCTTCCCAGCCCAGGGATCTCTTTTTGTGTAGGCTGGCACTGCATTGTGATCCTGCTAATCTCTGCCTCCCAAGTTAGCTAGTATTATAAGCATGAGCTGCCATGCCTGGCTTCAGCCTTTTTTTCATATACCCACTGGGGATCAGAAGAGCAAGTAAAATAATAAATTTCCTAGGATCATAGAGAAAGCTAAATTTCTTCTGCCTCTAACTTTGCTCACAATGTAGTCTCTCCCCCCCCCCAGCAATGGCACTGACACTCTAGAACAGTCGGGGTGGGATATATAAAATGAGCCAGTTTCTTTATAGATATGTATTATATGGTACTTAGAATAGTATTTCCCTATTTGAATGCTTATTTCCCTTGTTTACTTAGACTGGAAAAATGTATTTAAGCTTTCATGATTCAAGTCAAATCTTGGACTTTTACTGGATATAGTGACTCATGACTATAATACTAGCTTCTCAGAACTTGAGTTGAGGCCAGCTTGGGCAAAAAGTTAAGACTACATTTCAAAAGACTGAGCATGATGATGTACATTTATCATACCAGCTACACAGGTGGCATAAATAAGAGAACTGTGGTCCAGGTCAGCCAAGGCAAAAACACAAGATCCTATTCCAAAAATAGGTAAAGCCAAAAGGGCTTGGGGCCTGGATCAAGTGGCAAAATGCTTGTAAGTAAATACAAGGCACTGAGCTCAAACCCCAATACCACAAAAATTGCAGGTTTTCATCATAAGGGCATGTTGCTCCTCAATTCACTAGAAAACTTTTATAGAGTTATTTAGTTCTGGGGGAAAGCAACCTACAAGTTGGAAATTGGAACCAATTTCTTACTGCTGCATGGTAAAGAAAATATATCTAAGTCCCTTTTCTTGGTTTAAGTTCCACCTAAGAATTCAGGAAAGGAGTATTATATTAATATTGCTACTGCAGAGAAATATCCAAAGCTACTCTGGAAAAGGAAAACTTCCCCCAGAGTCTTTCACTATATGCCATTTCTTGGTTATAGTATAGGTAAGTTTTCTTGGCCTCTATATGGCTAGGCAGACAGCTGTGAAACACGTTTAATGTTGTTGTTTCTTTTAGCACTCCACTTTTTTTGTGTACCAGTACTGGGGCTTAAACTCAAAGCCTGGGCACTGTCCCTTAGCTTTTTCGCTGAAGACTAGCAGTCTATCACTTGAGTCACAGCTCCACTTCTGACTTTTTGGTGGTTAAATGGAGATCAATCTCATAGATTTTTTTCCTGCCTGGGCAGCCTCTTGAGGAGCTAGGGTTACAGGTGAGAAGACTGATATCTGACTAGTGGTTCTCCTTTGACATAGCCTTTTCTTACCTCAATAGCATTTTGTATCCAATCAATATCATGCAAGTCACTGTATTTATCAAGTATTGTGTTTTACTTTTTTGATAGAAGAGCAAAACCAGTGTCTTATTTGAGTCCTCAAAGAACATGAGACCTCTAATAGTAAGTACAAGGACAGCATGAGATGACTAGATCAATCCAATGAGAAATCCTCAAGATTCTTTTTTTTAACTGATTTTGTAATTAAAATGCTAACATATGTAAGTGTGTTATATAACCAATAAATGTCAGTTGCCTTTTCTTGCTGGGTTCCTCACAGGCAAGGCTATATCAAGGTATTATCATTCTTCTCTTTTCAGAAAATTAAACTCACTTAGAAAACTACAGAATTAAAAGTACAGTACAGTTTGGTTAATGCAGTTGGCTAGCTATTTTCCCACCCTCTTCACCCACTATGCTAGGGAGAGGTTGAGAAAATTTTCCAAGTGTCTTCCCTAGGGGCAGATTCCACATGGAGAGTTATGGGTTACAATTCTCTAGTGCACAGTCCTTTCTTTTTGGCGATGATAATCTGGGAGAAAGAAGAGAAGGAACAGAGAGAGGAGGTTAATTTCAGGCCTGTGCTCCACATATCCACCCCTAATGTCTAGGATTTCCAATTACAAGGATTTAAAGACTTTCTTCTTAGGACTCAAAAAGGTAATTAAACCAGAAAATAAAGAAGCACTTACTGTAGGGAAAGAAGCGCACACGCATGCTGATCTCACGAGCTGTCTTCAGGATCTCAACAGCCTAGAAGGAACAGTTTTTCCAAATGAAAACATAAAACCTGGGATTGGATTGTATCAGGGGGGATGGGATTTGCAAGTCCAACCTTCTGGGTCACACACCTCTAGGTCACTGCTTCCATCTGGTATATTTACCCAGAAGAGGTGCTTTTTTTTAAAATCAAGTTACAGATTAGCATAAACTTGTCCAACTTGGGATGGTTTCATATATCACCACAGCCCAAGTGCTGTGCTCACCTTGCTGTGCTCAATATCTTGAAAATCCACATCATTCACAGCTAGAACTTGGTCTCCTTCTTGAAGCCCTGCTCGATGTGCATCAGAGTCTGGAATTACCTGTTAGCAAAAGGACAATACATATAATTGAGATGGGGTAACTTCAGAAAATTATGTGAAATTTGATGGCATTCAAATGTAAATTGTTACTGTGGGTTTTTTTGATGTAAAGATCTAGGGATACAGGAAACTTGCCAGATGGAAAGTTTTGGAGGGCAAAAAGGTATGTCCCAATTATGCCCATCCTAAGGGTCCACCAAGTCATCCTTCTTAGTCCTTGGAACATCAGGGTACTGTAATCTGATAACAAAGGTAAGTAGCTATCTAATATAGTTCATCAGGCACACATACCTTGGAGATGAAGATGCCTAGCTGAGAGGCTTTTCCTCCTCGGATGTTAAATCCCAACTGAAAGACAAAAGCACTAAATGGGGACTTAACATAGACCAAAACCACAAGAATATTTAATAGCATCACTGTATCACAAACAGCTCAACTTCTGTGTTTCTCAAAGGGAAATGAAAAGTTGTAAAACTTTCTTCATCTCTTCACCTGCTTCCCACCCTATTCCTCTAACATGGTCAACTTTTGGCAGAGACAAATTCAGCCTGGTAAAAGAGCCTCTATAAACTCACCTGAGCACCAGGAGGCTTCTTTAGTGTGACAATTCGGGGAAGAAACTGGGTCAACTCATTGTTGTAGTCTGGATGGTATACTCTCTGTAAGATGTAACAATTCCCAAAATGTTACTGTTAGTTTTAGACTTACATTCATCTTTTTCTGGAACACAAATGCATCATCCTCAAATCAGGAAAAGGTAAAGTCATAAACTCAGTTTAAGTACAACAGAGAATACTGCCCTAATAAATAGATGTTGAGCACTGGGACATGCTAGCAGCCCAGTACCTCCTCACTTTTCTGTGTGCCATTCCTGGGGCTTCAACTCAGGGCCTGGGACCTGTCCCTGGGCTTTTGTGCTCAAGGTTAGACCTTTTAGCCCTCAAGGACGAGACAAAGCTCCACTTGTAGCTTTTTAGTGGCTAACTGGAGATATGAGTCTCATGGATTTTCCTGCCTAGACTGGCTTTGAACCATGATCCTCAGATTTCAGCCTCCTGAGTAGCTAGGATCACAGGCATAAGCCACTTACACCAAGCCCTCCCCTCTTTTTAAAAAAAATCTTCTAAAAGAATGGAAACTAGACCTCTGAATTTCTAGAATTCACTGTTATGAATGGACTGTAGGAGGAACTACAGAAGTTTAGAATGGGCAGACATTTGCAGTATCTGGTCAAACTTAAAAAAATAAGTTTAGAATAGACCACTATTGCTCAGAATTCAGCTTCTGAGACTTTTTTTTTGGGTCCAGTTGTGGGGCCTGAACTCTGGGCCTGGGCACTGTCCCTTAGCTCTTTAGCTCAAGGCTAGCGCTCTACCACTTGAGCCACAGCACCACTTCTGGCTTTTTTCTTTTGGCTTATGTGGTGCTGAGGAATTGAACCCAGGGTCTCAGGCATGCAAGGCAAGTGCGCTACCACTGAGCCACCTTCCCAGCCCCCTGAGTCTTTTGTTAAAACAAGGACTAAGACTCACTCTTCATTTAGCTGTCTAGTCCTGCTATCCTATATTACATGCATCATCTCATGCCTAGAGAGAAAATTCCTGGTCATGAATTCCTGGTCATATGTTTTCTACATGGCAGAATAGATGACTCTCACCTCATGAGGAGGAATCCATGCTGGAGGATTCTCATAGGCTGGCAGGAAAACCACTGGGTAGTCATCATAAGGAATCCGGCTTTCCATCTCAGACAAGGCCCTGGAAAGAAAAGGTGAATCAAGACAAAAGTTAATTCAAGCCAGACACTGGTGGCTCACACCTGTAATCCTAGCTATTCAGGAGACTGAGATTTGAGGATAGAGATTTGAAGCAATCTGGGACAGGAACATCCAGATCTTATTACCAATTGAGCAGCAAACAAAAACCCAAATGTGGCACTGTTGCTCATGTTAGAATGCTAGCTTTTAGCAAAATAACTCAGGGATAGTGCCCAGGCCCTGAGTTTAAGTCCGAGGACCAGCATGTGTACACAAACAGACACACACGGACACACAGACACACACACAGATTCCAAAGGACAGCAGACAGGTGACTGGCTTACATCTGTAATACTAACTACTTGGAAGACTGAACCTAAGAGGATCTTTGGTTAAGGCCAGCCCTGGCAGAAAAGTTGAAGAAACTGCTTCTCCGCCCATATTTTGGCACAGTGGTGGGCAACTGTCACCCCAAGTTATGTGGGATTTGAGACTGGGAGGCTTATGGTCCCAGGCCAGTTCCTGCAGAAAAATTTTTAAGAGACATTATCTCCACGGAGAAAAGCTGGACAAGCTAGACACAGTGACAAGAGTGAGTGAGCCCTGCAATATCTGAAAGCCTAAAGTAGGCAGATTTCCATTCCGGCAAGCATCCAGACAGGAAGTAAGATTTGATCCTAAAAATAACCAGGTGGGGAAAAAAGGCTATAGAGGCTCAGCAGTATCACATCAGCCTAAGAAGTCTCAGGCTCTGAGTTCAAATTCCACTATCGTCAAAAAAAAACCTTAAAAAGAAGGACAACAGCTTAGCAAATTTCAAGTATCAGCTGCAAACCATTCCCAAGCCATCGGTCTATGTGCCAAGTTCACACTTCAGTTGGAGGTAAGGAGTAAAGAAAACAGAAAAATATTGGTAGGTACTCTAGAGACATGATCTCTTTTTTCACAATAGTCCAGCAGAACATGTTAACCGTCCTCATTTTACAGATCAAATTAAATGCGCATATAGGAAAGGTTACTTTTAAGAACCAAGGGAGTGTTGACTACAATAATGGGACTCAGAGTTAGGCACCGCCTCACTTTTTCTTAGAGGTAAAAAGTAATCGAGGGGCCCCTAAATGGACTATTCCTTCACCACTAGCCACCTTCCAGATCCTTGTCCCGATCCTGAGTCCCGCGCTCACCGCCGCGTAAACACCGCACCACCTCACCAGGAGATAGACCCAGATCTCTAGCGCCTAGGCTCAAAGCCAATTCAGCCTGGGAACCGGAAGCGGATACTCGCGAACTCGAAAGAGGCGGGGCCTAGCTGCAGCGCGCGCGCACTAGCTTCCCGCTTCCTTATGCGTCATCTCGCGAGCGCCAACGTGCGTGCTCGGCTTGCAGACTGTTGGCGCTCCGATTGGCTAGCGCCTCTAGAACCAATTTGAAACTTGGCGGTTAAAGCTCCAGTTGGGACCGGGCGCTGGGAGTTTAGGCGACACCGGGAGAAGGGACGCTGAGTTCGGTAAGTTAAGAGGTTACGCCTCAGCTCACATTCTGTCGTTTCTGATACTGCGGGCATTTGGTTCTTTTGTCGCTATCTCCGTTGGAATTTTTTCTTTTCATTTCAGATGGCGCTTCACTCTTGAGAGTATTGGGCTGCCAGGCTTTTCCTTTGTGGCCCAGTCTCAGACAGGAATCCCGCTGGCTGGGAGGCTGCCGCCGTGACGACTGACAGAGCCCTCTGCATTCTCCCTATTCCTACAAACCGCCAACCTACCGACACTCCTCTGTAAACCGCGTTTCCTGTCCCCCCGCAGAGACGGGACTGAACTAGGATCATGAAGGAGGAGGTGAAGGGAATTCCTGTAAGAGTGGCACTGCGTTGTCGCCCTCTGGTCCCTAAAGAAATTAACGAAGGCTGCCAGATGTGCCTTTCCTTCGTGCCCGGAGAACCCCAGGTGTGTAGTCAAATACAGATGCGAGGTCTGGGAACTGCCTGGGTCCAATGGCAGCGAAGGGCGTGGTCTGGCCATTTCCTGACGCCTTGTCCCTTGCCTTCTGCAGGTGGTGGTTGGTACTGATAAATCCTTTACCTACGATTTTGTGTTTGACCCTTCGGCAGAACAGGAAGAGGTCTTCAATACAGCAGTAGCACCACTCATAAAAGGCGTATTTAAAGGTGAGGCTGTTTGATTTTGTGTACAATGTGCTAGTCGCAATGCTTAGACCCAGCAAATACAAGAATGGATGACTCGTAATTCCCGTCTTCAAAAATCCCACAGCCTAATATTTGGAAAGGTCTTTTCCCTTGAAGCTAATTTCAGACCATATTTGAATTTTGTGGTTCTATTTGTCTCAGTCTGTACATATTTTTGAATGTAATGGATCATGATTAGAGTAAAAGCTCTTTGGTTAGTTCTCATGGGAAATAAGTATGACAACCTGTTCTGAGTCCCAAGCCTCAATATTCATTTGGTATTTATGCAGAGAAATAACAGGGCTTCCAGGCCAGAGGGAAGGGGTAGATGATTACCTAAATTATTTTGAATAATCTTTTAAGTTTGTTACACATGTTTTCAAAAGAATATAGACGTTAAGAACATATACTCTATTCTACTATAGAAATAAAACTGTTTTCCTACAAAGTGGTATGAAAAACAAAAGGATGGCATGAACTCTGCTTCTGGACTTAAGGTGAATTTTACAGAATAGGGAATCTTTAAGAGAGTTCTTTAATTAAGAGCAGAATTCTTTTATGTATAGAAGGAATTTCCTAAAGCCGCTGAATACTATGGCCAGTTAATGGTATTTGTTGTGAAACTAAGGCTGTGATTTTGAAGACCAGAGCAATGTTCCAAAGAAGAGAGTAGTACCGCTGATAATTCTAATTGTTAATCACATGTAGTGGTTATTCAAGTTTCAAACCAAAGCCTTAAGCTTAAAAAGTGCATTATGTTTAATCTAGTTTAATCTTCCATTTGAAGAGAAAAAGTGTTTTTTTGCACTTCTAGTGTCTGTTAAATTTTTTTCTTTATTAGAGAACTCACAGGATAGTCCCAATTGACGTTTGGTTTTTGGACAACTGTAATGATGTTAGAGAAGTCTGGATATTGAGAAGAAATTTACTTCCCAGTAATTTCTATTCAGTAATGTTCTTCTCTCTAGATAACCAGAAGACTTCTAGACAACAGCTGGCGCATATATTTTCACCTTTAAAAAATGATGCCATAAGCTGGGAAGGTGGCTCAATGGTAGAGTGCTTACCTTGCATGCATGAGGCCCTGGGTTCAATTCCTCAGTACCACATAAACAGAAAAAGCTGGAAGTGGTGCTATGGCTCAAGTGGTAGAGTGCTAACCTTGACCTGAAGAGCTGAGGGCAGCACCCAGGCCCAGAGTTCAAGCCCCATGATTGACCAAAAAAATGATGCCATGGCTCAGAGCACATTGAACACCTTATTTCAAAATTTGGAAAATAGCAGAATTTTTCTCTGAGTTATTTGAGATGAATTATTGACCCAATGACCACTGAATAATTTATATTTCCTACAAAGAAGGATTTTCTTTTAATAACTGTAGTAACAATTCAACCAACCATCATATGCAGGAAATTTGCATTGCTGCATTAATACTATCTAATTTTCAAACTCCATTCAAGTTTTAACAGTTGTCTCAGTAATTTCCTTTATAGCAAAATAATTTATTTCAGAATCATGTATTGCATCTGGCTGTGGCTGTGCTTTTAGTCCCCATTATAAAATAGTTTTTCGGTCTGTTTTTTAATTGCTTGATCTTGATACTTTTTTTAAATAAGTTTTTTATTGTGAAAATACTGTACAGAGGGGTTACAATTACATGAGCAAGGTAATGAGTACAATTGTCAAGCATTGTTGCCTCCTCCTATGTTTTCCCCCTACCATCCCTTCCCTCCCATCTCTACAACTACACTCCTCCCCATCTCGATACTTTCAAAGATTAAAGCCCCAGTTATTTTGTAAATGTTCTTTAATTTTTATTCATTCAATGTTATGATTAGACTCTGATTATTATCTTTCTTTTCTTTGATTTTTTTTTGTACCAGTCAGGGGCTTCAACTCAGAGCCTGGGTGCTGTTTCCCAAGCTTTTTTGCTCAAGGCTAGATTCTACCACTTAAGCCACAGCTCCACTTCTAGACTTTGGGTGGTTAATTGGAGATAAGTATCTCATGGACTTTCCGAGATGGCTTTGAACAGTGATTCTCAGATTTCAGCATCCTAACTAGTTAGAATTGGACAAACTTATTTTTTTGTGCCAGTCCTGGAGCTTGAACTCAGGGCCTGGGCACTGTCCCTGATCTTTTTTGCACAAGGTTAGCATCCTATCACTTAAGACACAACTCCACTTCTGGCTTTTTGGTAATTAATTGGAGATAAGTCTCTGAGGTTTTCTTATGCAGGTTGGCTTCAAACCACAATCCTCAGATTGCAGCCTCCTGAGCAGCTAGAATTATAGATGTGAGCCACCAGCCCTTGGAAAAAGCCATTACTTTTTAAGAGTCAGCTCAATAGTACACTTTTATACTCTGAACTCCTGTTACCAAAGAGCCCTGCATGTTTTGTTTGGTTTTGTGCTAGTTCAAGCACTGAAACTGTTTTTCCAAGATGTTGCTATATACACATATGTATGGTATTGAAGAAAATCATGGAATCCTATTCTTCTATTCCATTGTCATGCTACATAATACCATTAATCTATTACAGTGAAAAATCATAATTTAGCATCTGAAGATCTTTCATTTTGACCAGCAAGTAAAAAAAAAACAAAACTGATTATCCTTTATAGTAATACATTGTTTTAAGACTTAAGTACTTTCCCTTTAGACTCCAAAATTATCTTGTTAAATAGTAGAGAACAGCTTTGACATAATTATGATAATCAAATAACAGAGAAAGCTTGCCTGTGTTCCTTTAGAATATCCCTACCACTCTATTAGGGGAGAGCTTCCTAAGGTCATGTTTTCTTTGCCTTGAAGTAAATTTGAATGTATAGTTCCTTCTATTAGGTACTACTACCTTTTAATTAATTAGTTATTATAATTCATCTTAAGTTTCTTTTTAAAATCTTGCTACAGCTGTAACTAGGTTTATCTGCTTCTAATTTCCCTAGTATTCTGGATTCTCTGACAAGAGCAAATATAAAACTGTAATGAAATATGAACATTTGCTAGTGCTCTACTGTGTGAGCTACCCTTCTACTTCTGGTTTCTACTTTCTATTGGAGATAAAATTCTCACAGACTCCCTGTCTGACTGGCTTCAAATCTCAATTCTCAGATCTCAGCCTCCTGAGTAGATAGGATTACAGTTTTGAGCCACTGGTATCCAGCTGTGCCTGCTCTTCTTAAGCAACAATCCCAATTTTGCAAGTAATTGTAGAAGAAAATCAAGTATATATGGTCGGTTGAAAATGTTTGAGTACCAGTATGCATGTAACTTCTATTTTGCTAGGATACAATGCAACCGTACTGGCCTATGGGCAGACTGGCTCTGGAAAAACCTATTCAATGGGAGGTGCATACACTGCTGAGCAAGAGAATGAGCCAACAATTGGGGTTATTCCTAGGGTAATACAAATGCTCTTCAAAGAAATTGATAAAAAGAGTGACTTTGAATTTACTCTGAAAGTATCTTACTTAGAGGTAAGTGATTTATCTTTAATTCTGAATTCAAAATTATCCTTGAGTAGAAAAATAAATCCAAATCAGATTTTTCCTGGTATGACTCAGATTAGTAAATTGCATTTTAATAAATTGATAGAGGAAATTTGCTAGCTAAGTTGGATCTGGCTTCCACCCAATTCTTTCCTATTAGAATCATCTACTTAATCTGTTAGAAGAATTGGCATTGCCATATAAAAAGATGATATGAATTCTTTAATTTTAGTTTGGTCTCTATTACTAATTCCCTGAAGAATGTGCAGAAGAGTATTTGATTTCCCTTTACTGTTTTGTGGCTTGTTAGTTATATTGCTGCACTATGAAGAATGTCGTTAAAACTCAAATGAAATATTGAACTATATGAGTGGTAATAGGGTATGTGCTTATTCAGTTGATATTTCTTGCATACCTATTATGTGCAAGACACTCATGTATTTAGATATATCTTGAGAGATAGCAGCGGACAAAACAAGTAAGAGTTTGCATTCTAGTTGTTTGTCAGCATATATCTAACTTCCAAAGCAAATAACAACATGCAACAAAGAAGATTTATGGAGTTTGATTGGTGCACAGCAGAAAGGTTTTATTTTTAAGAAACAAATAAATTAAGCATGCAATTATAAATTATATGGGAATACTTAATCTTGAAGTTGAATTTCAATATGTGATTGGTAAAAGACATAAGAGGTGTACGATTAGAAGAGATGGGGGAGAGGTTAAACATCATTAAGATTAGCCTTCTTAGGTCTTAATCCAGTTGTGATCAAGGCAATTGAATATAAAAGTAACTCAGTATCCTGGCATGTGAAATAATAACAATAATAACAAATATAGCGCTTACTGAACATGTGCTAAACATTGTTTTTAGTAAAAGTTCTGCTCATTGTTGAAAGGTTAGTTGCTACCTCTCCTTTTTTCTTTTCTTGCTCCCAACCTCTACCTCCCTTCCATCAAAGACTCAATCACATTTTACAAACTTGGTGAAAGTGATATTGTTATGACACTTATCAAAGAATTGAATTGGGGCATAGTGTAACTTTTCCTGTCTACATATTTCTGAGACCCTGGCTTGAAAGAGTAATCTCAATTTTATTAGAGTATTGTTAGAAAACATCAAATGATTACATACAAAGGTAAGCCCTTCCCTTCTCCATCTTGTGATGGTAGGGATACCCCCAGTCCCTTAAAGTCTTTTTATTTTTTCAACTTTAGAACACCATTTAATAATAGGATGCAAAAGTTAAAGAAAATAATAAGCCCACAATAATCTGGTAAAGTCATTTGCTTAATTCTAAAAACCTAAAAATAATACTGGTTCTTTATAAACACTTTTTTTGTTGATCATGGGGCTTGAACTCTGGGTCTGGGTGTTGCTGTCCTTCAGCTTTTCAGCTCAAGGCTAGTGTTCTACCACTTGAGCCACGGCACCAATTCTAATTTTCTGGTGGTTTATCGGAGACAAGAATTTCACGACTTTCCTGCCTGGGCTGACTTTGAATTGCGATCCTCAGATCTCAGCCTTCTGAGTAGCTAGGATTACAGGCATGAGCAACTGGCGCCCAGCTATAAACACATTTTTTATTGTTGTTCATGGGGCTTGAACTCAAGGCCTGGGTGCTGTCCCTAAGCTATTTTGCTCAAGGCTAACACTCTATCACTTTGAGCCACAGCTCCACTTCAGGTTTTCTTGTGGCTAATTGGAGCTAAGAGTCTCACAGACCTTCCTGCCTGGCCTAGCTTCAAACTGCAATCCTCAGATTTCAGCCCCCTGAGTAGCTAGGATTACAGGCATGAGCCGCCAGTGCCTGGCCCTATGAACACATTTTTTTTTCTTTTTTTGCCAGTTCTGGGCCTTGAACTCAGGGCCTGGACACTGTCTGTGAGCCTCTTTGTACTCAAGGCTAGTAGCACTCTACCACTTGATCCACAGCTCCTCTTCTGGCTTTTTCTTTTCTTTTTTTTTTTATTGTCAAGGTAGTATACAAAGGGGTTACAGTTACATAACTTAGGTAATAAGTACATTTCTTGTCAAACATTACCCCTTCCCTCATTTTTCTCCTACTTTCCCCAATCCCCTCCCCCAAGTTGTACAGATCATTCCAACATATTGCCTTGTGAATATGGCTGTTGCTTTGGTTTCCCCCTTGTCTTGTCAAACCATTCTGTCATTTCCTTTCCCTTCCTTAATTCAGATAAATGTGCGCGCGCGCACACACACACACACACACACACACACCACATTTTCTTGATCCACACACACACACACACCACATTTTCTTGATCCTTT